ATGCCCAGTGTTCGAACCAGTAACACAGGCCATTGTACTCAACTCAATTCTAATCTCTCTAGGAAGAGGAAGATGCTTCTTAGCCATGTGCCCTGCCCCTGCCTCACACATCTGGGCTAGTGTCCCCACAGTGCTGTCTGTCCCTTCCAGCATGTTGGGACAAGCGTGCAGGAAGCCAGGAGCCAGCCCGGCCTGGGCTCTGAGCAGCATACCAACGGCAGACGGCTCCCACCTCTGCGTGCCATCGCCATGGAAACCCACTCCCACTCCTAGGCACTAGACAAAGGCGGGGCCTGTGGTCTGTTCCACTGCGTGCTCTGAGAGAAGTGGCTCATCAGTCCCAGGCTCCTCTTACAGGAGAAAGGTGCCTCTTTACGAGGGAATGTAGGCACAAATCCTCCCAGGAGCCTGTGCACACGGGGACAAACGGAACCACTTTGCTCTCACTCTTCCTGCTGTAATTCAAGTCCACACACTGATTATGTGTCTACTCCGGTTGAAACTTGGAAACTACCAGGATAAACAAGACACTTGGCACGAGCTCACTCCAGCTGGAGAGGAGGGACAGCTCTGCTGTTGATTCTTCCTATTGCTTGGACACATGCAGCTAAGGTACCTAAGAGCTACTAAGAGAAGCATATTCTAAAGTTAGCTCTGGGCTTGCTGAGAGATGCCAGCCCTCAGAGCATCAACCATCAGGAGAGGAAGAGGCCTGAGAGAGGAGGTGGTTAGTTTTTGGGGTGTCTGCAGAGAAAAGCTGTGTCCATGTTGGCAGAGAGGGGTTCTTCTCCTTCCTGCAGCTATGAGAAGCTCTAGAGGAACACATAAAAACTGAGATCTTTAAGAAGGGGAGACTGGCCCCTCACTCCCAGATACATGCCTGCTGAGCTGCAGAAGTGGTCGGCCCACCCTGGGGCCAACAGAGCCAAGAGTGGTGAGAGAGAAGGCTCCTGGGGGAATATTCTGGGAGCCTGAGAATATGGCATATGTTCTTTTCAGTCTTCTTACCGCACCATGGGGAGAATGGGAGGACCATCAGCATGTGGGGACTGACTTGAACTCAAAGACTGGTACCTGCGCTGGTGCAGAGATTTCACAAGCTGGGACACCTGCTGGAGTAGCCCAGGCCTACAGGGCCTGAAGACCCTCTGAAGTGGCATGCTGAGAAAGCTTCACCCAATCTTGGTTCTCTGTGGCCCTCGAAGGGAGTGGAAAGGACCCCAGTGGTTATTAAGAGATCACGGGGAGCAGATTCCCTGAGTGGAAGAGACAGAGCAGAGAGTCAGGGGAGAGCACTCGAGAGGAGAGCACCTCCCCGAGAGGGAGAGAGCCCTGGAAATGTACAGAGGGCGTCCCTGTTAGCATTCAGAAGAGCGGTGATCAGCACGTGAACATAAAACACCAGCTGAAAAGGCTAGAGGGAAGAATGCCCAGAGCTCACACAGGGCCAGGAATAGTGTGTTCCCACCAACCAGGCCGGAAAACCTCATAACTCAGAACAATGGGGTAGAGTCCTAAAGAGTCTTACACCTCAGTAGTGGGGGAAATTAGCCCCTATGCTAAACGCTGCTCTCGTCTTGCCTAACCAACCTTAAAGGCAAAACTCAAATGAATCACATTGTTTCCAAGTAACTTAACCATATCCCAGAACAAAGTTTATAGAAATATGAAAAACACCTAGCATGAAAAAAGGTAAAATTCATGTCTGGCATGCAAAGAAGTATAAAAACAACTATGAGAAAATAGAGGAAAAAAAAAAAAGAACAATTAAAACCAACCCAGAATTGACACAGATGTTAGAATTAGCTGATAAGGGCATTAAAAGATTTCAAAAACATGTGTTCGAAAAGTAGAGACCTGGAAAATATAAAAAGGACTCAAATCAAAACTTCGAGTTGAGAACCACAATGTCTGAAATTAAAAGTAAACAAGACCATCACATCTGCTGAGTGGGAAAGCTCACCCTGGCCGCCACGTGGAGAATGGATTTGGGAAGGAATATTAAAGTAGGCACAGGAAGCTGTTAGAACATCTCAGGTGAGAAACGGTGATGGTTGGACACAGTAACAATAGAGCCGGGAAGAACCAGGCCTTTTTGAAATATTTAAGTGGCATTGGCAGGACTAGGTGATCACTTAGAGGTATGGAGTGAGGAAGATGAAGCTGACCATAAGCTGAGCCCCAGGATGACGGGGCGCAAGCAGGTCCTCGACAGGAGGTGAGGTCAGACGGTACCAACTGACTCATTAGGTGGAAACAACCACGGGCTGGGGAATCTGAGCCACAAATGCAACCCAGGAGGCAGCAGTCACGAGAGCAGATGCACATGTCCTGCAGTGTTCTGAGCCACAGGCAGGCCTGGTGCACTCAAGAACCAAGAGGCTGGTGCAGCTGGCTTCTGGGGAGCAGGATGACAGCGAAGTGCCAGGCAAGGCCCAGATCACACAGAGCCAAGGCTGAGATTTTACCCGAGGCATGAGAATCTACCGGAAAGCTTCAACCAGGGGACTGACAGATTTGCATTTGAAAATGTCACTCTAGTGGAGGGTGGAGGATGGACAGGAAGTGGGTGAGCAGAGGCAGACACCCTGTTAGGCGGCTTTGGTGTCCTGAGACTGCTCGCACATGAGGGGTGGAAAGTAGTGAGAAAACTAGGAATACACACCAGGAGCACAATCCTCAGGCCTGGTTGTTGAACAGATGTGAAAAGAGATGGTGACAAGGATAGGGCCCAGGTTAGTGACAGGAGTAAATGCCACTTATTAAGGTAGAGAAGGCAAGCACAAGGCAGATTTGGGAGAATCAAAAGTTCTATTTTAGACATAGTTGGAGATCTCAAGCAACTATGGATAAAAGCTGGTGTTTAGGGGAGAGACCCGAGTTAGAGATACACCGGTGGTATGTTAAACCACGGAAGTCGATAAGGTCACACAGGGAGTTTGTGGAGTGAGAGAAGAGGCTAAGGCCGAGCTTTCACAATCCGCCACTGAAAAGTGAAATACAGAAGTCCATAGCGAGAGAAAGATGTAGAGACAAGGAAGGATTTTCAGTGATGGAGTAGAGCCTAGAGAGGCTGCAACCACAGAAAAGAGGGAGGCGACTCGGTACGTGTGGAGGGGTCGGCTCATGAGAGCAGGAGGGACACGGCTGATGCAAGATGCAGGAGGCCTGAAGAATAAATAAGTGGTAGCAAGATAAGGGTATTCCTGTTAGCTCCTCTACTAGGAGGAGGTACAGTATCCTGAGAGGCAGGGTTGATCGGGAGAAAGGTAGAAGTTTATAAAGTAGACAAGGTATGAATAGTCTGTCTTATTTCAACAGATGTTAGAATTGTTTTTAAAAAACAAAACAGCAACAATCCCCACAAGGTGCAAATTATCTGTATTAATGGAGGAGCATCAGCTTAAAGTTCTCAATTAAAGTCTGGAAACATTAAGCACATCACAATCTAATAGCAGAGGAAAAGATCACATTCTATGCTCAGTTCTGATCCAAAGGACAGTAATTACTTGGTAAGGGACTGATTAGTCCCCTCACTCCCCTCAAGTGACAATGTTCCAATGTCCCATTAGAAGGCTTCGGTCATCCTGAGACAACCAAATTTGTATTGCAGAGTATGAAAGCCATTCGGAACTATACTTTGTTTTTTTTAGTGGCCCCTCTTATATCCGAGGACATTAGACCCAATACTCTCCCCTAAACCCAAGTGCCGTAATAGTCCTATTGTATTCTCTTCTCCTAGAAGTCTGCCTTTCTACTAATTCCAGAAATTCAGGCTGATTCAGTTATATTTAGGGGGTAAAAACTTTTTTAAGTCAGATCAGCAGCTGTGGGTGTTCTTAGTATTTTGTGCCTAATATCTTTCAGCTTCCTCCAATAACAATGGCAAAAAAAGGCTTTGCATTCTAACTTGACTACAGATGCTATAGATAGATACTTCAGGGAAAAGACTTCCTGTATAGCTTAATATCAAGCAAGGATCAAATTCAATCAACTACATGGCCCAAGCAAGTAAAGTGAGTTAAGCAGACTAGATCTGAGAAGAAAGAAAGAGTAAAATCAATATTCCAGTTCCCCCTTAAGGCCATTTACTGTAGGGTCTGCGGATTCGAGAGCCCATACTCCACAGCCAGCCCAGCAAGTGCTGGAAACAGAGCCTACTATGGACAGATCTGCTTTTCCAATTTAAGCTCTAAAACCAGAGTAGTGAAACACTGGAATTTTAAACAGTAGAAACAATTAAATTTAAAATATCATCTACCCCCTCCTCCCAAAAAAACCCACAGGCAACCATTTGTGATCTCTACTGTGATTCCAATCTCAGATTGGGAATCAAAATACCAGCCCTGTTGTATTCTAGCTCTTTGTGCCTTTGGCAAATCAATGAAATTCTGAGCCTCATTGTGCTCATCTGAAAAATAGTGTCATTTTTCAAACTGATGCTTTCAAAAAAAAGTAGTATCAAACATTAAACACAACAATGCTTGAACACTTAATGTCCAACATGGGGTAAACAACTAAATACCATTTCCTATAGGTAGAAAGTGGATCTTACTATCGGTAAATTATTTGCAGTGATCTTTCAAGAACCTAATTAAAGATCCCAAGGAGGCTGACTTCTCAGAAGATGTAGGGCCTTTCAAATTCTGATTACTGAATACTGAGTATTAAAGTCATTAGAAACTCAATAGAACCAGCAATAAAGAATGCCTGGCAATAGATACTTAATGAGCTAGAAGTGGCTCTTCTAATTAAGAGATCTAATAACTGTCACTAGTTAATGGCCACAAAAAGGCAATAAAGTACACACATTGAGGGGTATACTTTTCAGTGAAAACAATGGCAGCTTCTAAAATCAGCTGTTAAACTAAAGGGATTTAAGTTTTTACAAATCAGACAAATCTCTATTATCATATTTTAGCCTCTCGTCTGTTAAACACTTCAGCTAGATTTCATACTATCTTAAGTAAACTCCAAGGAATACCAACCACAATACTAGAAAGAATCTGTTAAAGAAATGCTTTATTAATACAAACACACAAACTACAAAAGCACTAAGAAACTTAAATATCTATGTCATAGCAAACAGGTGGCAACTCAACATCCAGGGTCGACAGAATGCTTGAAGGAGACTGCAACGGATCTAAGAAAACAGAAATTTCTTATTAAATTTCTGCAAATCCTTGAGTCATTGTCCATAGATACGCAGACATCAGCTGTCACTTTTAATCATAAATTCACACTTTTCCCTTTGTCTAATGAATTTGTACCTCTACCCCCTCCTCATATACATTTCTTGGAATGTGGCAGTGGCCCCAGAATTGACCTTCATTAGGAAAAAAGTCTTAGAAGTATCTGAATCTCTACTGTTCTTAGAGACCAAAGTAAGAGCTAACAGTCTCATTAATGTAATGTAACTTATTAGTACAAGTTATCTCATGAGAACAAAGAGAACATAATGATGGCTCTTGACTACCAATTTAAACTAAGAGCTTCTGCAGTAAGGTATTGTCATTCTATGCTATAGCACAGGTGTCTTGATCCTATATTATCTTTGGATATAACTTGGAATCCTCATTCCAAGCAAGTTTATTATACACATCAGCTTGTAGCCCGTGTGTTAGATTTAATCTCTTCTTGCTGTATCTAAGACTATCTGAATAACTGTTCCAGAATGACTTAATTTTTACTGGGGCATTTGGGGCTAAGAAGTAATACCAACTGACAATAGTTTTCATTTTTCTGAAACCTCATCCCTGTAGTTCAAAGGATAGAAATTACTCACTAATCTCCTGCACAACTGTCCCCACAGTAATGAAAACAAATTGTTTGCAGCCCTTCTAGAAGGGCACTTGCTCACCAGATTCCCATGGTGAAGAGGAAATCTTCACAGGTGAAGGGGGTCCCAGCTGTAACAGCTTTTCAAGTTCTCTCTCCTCATCAAGGATCATGAGAGGCACTCCATTCAAGGGGAGGTCTGCAATCTGGTGCTCTTCAGGCAGGTCAAAACTCTCAAAATCTGTCTCAAAGAGAAAGCATTTTGTCAGGGCAATAGTTTTCAGCACAATCAGCATACCCTTGGTGGTCTGAGACCCTTTCAGAGGGTCCATGAGGTCAAATCCATTTTCATGATAATATTAATACCTTTTTCCACTGTGTTATTTGCAATGATGGTACAAAGGCAACGGTGTATAAAACTGCTGGTGCCTTAACATGAATCAAGACAGTGGCAATAAACTATTAGTAATCATTATATCCTTCACCACCATTCACTTGAAGCAAAAAAAAAAAAAAAGCCAGTTTCACTTAATGTCACTTTACCATATGAAATAAAAGGTATTAATTTTATTAGCTCTCAGCCCAAGATGATGTCTTTTTAACATTCTGCGTGATAAAGTGAGTATGCCATAAAGCACTTCTGCTGCATACCAAAGAATAATGATCATCTCAAAGAAAAAGGATTTGTGCAATTATATGACTTGCAAGCTAAACTAGAGGACTTTTTCCTGGAACACCATCTTTACTTGAAAGAACTGAAAAACAGACTATGGTCACTCAGACTTGGGTATCTGTCACACATTTTCTCAAAGAGGAAGAAGTCTATGACTTCAACGAAAACTGACAGTGTTTGTTGCCAATGACAGAATCCAAAATGTCAAGAAAAAGTTAGAATTTTGGAAAATTTATCTGCAATCATTAGCTTTACAGTTTCCTTAGATTTTTCTGATGAGATCAGTTGTCGTATTAATGAATGTGCTTTTGATATTGTGTAATGAAATATCTCAACATTTGGGTACCTACATATCTCAGTGAACCAATTTTTTTTTTTTTTGAGACAGAGTCTCACTCTGTTGCCTGGGCTAGAGTGCTGGGGCATCAGCCCAGCTCACAGCAACCTCAAACTCCTGGGTTCAAGCTATTCTCTTGCTTCAGCCTCCCGAGTAGCTGGGACTACAGGCACTCACCATCACGCCCAGCTAAGTTTTATCTATTTTTAGTAGAGATAGGGTCTCGCTCTTGCTCAGGCTGGTCTCGAACTCCTGAGCTCAAGCAATCCTCCCATCTCAGCCTCCCAGAGTGAGTGCTAGGATTACAGGTGTGAGCCACTGCACCCGGCCAGTAAACCAATATTTCTAAATGATCAATGCATGACAAATGCAAGAGTAAAACATACACTGCAAGTGCAAAACAGACCAATGGATTTTACGGTTAGGATACAAAATGCTCATTGATATGGTTTCTGATTCTACATTGCAATTATACATTCAGAAACAGCCACTTGTGAATTTCAGTGTAGTAGTAAAAAAACTATCCACGCTTATGTGAAAAGATTAAAATGCTCCTCCCTTTCCCAACTACATCTCCACATGAGGTCAGGTTTTCTTCAAATGCTTTAAATCAAACAGATGCAACAAGCTGAATAAAGAATTTGATAAGAATGAAGTTGTCTTATATTAAGCCAAATTAAGTAAATTTTCAAAACTAAACTATGCCATTCTTCTCACTAAATTTTGGTTTGGAAAACTTACTTTACGAAAAATATGTTATTTACACTAATGTAATGGATTACTTAATGAATATTTTAATTTCTCAGTTTTAATCTATAATACAGAAAATATAAGAACACACAAGCAAAAGTTCTTTGTAGTCTTCAATTTCTAAGAGTGCAAAAGGGTCCTGTAACCAAAAAGTTTGAGAACCACTGTGTTAGATTTTATGAAGGACTATTACCCAAGTGCCTTACTTCTTAAGACTTATTTAAAACAACTGATTTTTCTTGACAGTAACAAAAGTATGATTTAAGTATTGAGTTTTTCCTCTTTTCAAGATTGTTTTTTTAAAAGCTTAAAAATCATGGTTCTCCTTATCTTTATTCTTAGGCGTGAAAGTTCTCTAAAGCCTAAGTACTTAAGAATTAGTTTGCTCTTTTTTCAAGCCTACTAAAACCCAGAGGTCAAAAAGCAATTGAGTGATATGTGACTACTTAATTTGAAACCACTGAATTTTAGAAGGAAACCATAAACATATGAAAGATTCCAGAGGAAAGAAGTCTGCAATGTAACAGGGCTAATTCTTTATCCACAAAAAGCCTTTAAAAAAACCAAAATCAGTAAGAAAGTCAAAGGAAAAAAAACTATAAATAGCCAATAAGACACACAACTTAACAGTGAGATATCATTGCCTTTCTGATAAACATTAGAGTTTTAAAACATTTGCAGTTAGAGACCATGGAGGAAGCAGGCACTCTGATTCACCATACGTGGATTCAATAACACTACTTTGGCAGTATCTCTTTCCTCAAACCGGGATATTGTGGTCCTCCCTTCTGGTCAATATGCACAAATCTACCTCATTTTCCTTAATAGCTAAATGGTAACATTAGCATAGATGCACCGTATTTTATTAAAACTTAATCACACATCCTTTAATTCAGCAATCCTTAGAGTTTCCCTCTGGATGTACTCACAAACTCGCAATAATATAATTTTAAGAATACAAATTGTAGACTTCTTTCTAATTTATAAAAGCCAGAACAACCTGAGTGTATGTTAGGAAAAGAATGACTAGATGCCCTTTGACTAAAAGGGTAAAAAAAAAAATCCAGTAGAGAGATCTAAGGCCCTGCCTGATCTGCCTCCACACTTCACCTGTATCCTCCTTCATTCTGCCCTTGGTTTCCCAGAACCACTCTGGTCCTTTCTCCTACCTCAGGATCTCTGCACACACTTTGATCTACAATGCTTTCTTCTCCCTGACACTCATAATGAGATGATTTGTTCAATGTTTAACTTTCCCTCCAAATTGTGGACTGCCTCAGTGTAGGCCTGTCTTGTTAACCACTGCGTCCAAAGCCTAATAGTGCCAGGCACACAGTAGCCTCTGCTCAAATGTTCAAGTAAATTAAAGTTTGAAAAGCTGTTTCTCTAACAGAAAATATCTGATACATGTGGCAGGTTGAAAAAGTTTGAAAAACACATCTTCACTGTCTACATAGATTCTTTTTCTTTTTTTCTTTGACCGAGAGCACGGCACTATACATAGATTCTTCTAACTAAATAAATAGTTAATTCTACCAAAGTACTCTCAGGCATTGTTCAACTTGACATAAAGCCCACTTTCTTTTTAAAAAGCTTGCTAGAAACACTGTCTGTACTGACACTTGTTCAGTACTAGTGAGCACATCTTACCTACTCCTTCAGTGCTAAGCTTTTGAGAAAAGAAACAATGCCCTCTACATTTTTGCTGCTATATTCCCCTCCTGACTTAAGATGATACATTGCAAATAATTCCACCAAAAAGTATATTTGTTCAAAGCAACCCAGATTCAGAAAGTCTCGTTATAGTTTTAGGTCATATCATGTTCACATCAAGTTACAGCTGGGTTGAATCCTAAAAGAAACTAAAGGCCAAAAGTATTTTTGCAATACGAAGAGATACTACCTAGAGGATTGAAGGGAAAAAACTTTTCTATTTCTGGATAGGTGTCATCGGAGGCAGGAACCGAGCTTTTTGCCTTAACAGTCTTCTCAGTCACCTGGAACAACCCAAGAAAATATAGATAAGTGAGAGTGGAAGCCTCATCAATCAATTAGTACAGAAGATTATAGGGCTCTTCAAAACATGATTGCTTCGCCACATTTTGTCAATTTCATGCTGCCTTCTAAGGAGCCATATTCCTTAAGTTCATATGATTATACCTAAATATGATTCAAATAATATAAAATAAATACAATGCTAGTAGCACAGCTTAAAAGTCTGAAATTTCAGTATTAGCGCCTGTCAGCATACGTTATCAAGAAGGCAGAACAGAGTTAATTCAGAGCTAATCAACTCAATTATTCAACCTAACAGAGGAGAAAATGGGCATGAGTCACCCAGAAGAGTAGCTAATCCTTAAAGCTCGAATTTTGGCTTATAGAAGCATGATTTTTTCCAGTGTTACCTTAATTATTTGCTTGGTTAATATTAAAAACAAGTTTATGTTCCTCAAATACACCGAGCTAAGAAACAGCAAAAGACAGTCAAGGACTTTAGAAGAAGACCATGAATAATTCTCTAGTCTGGAGTTGGCAGGTAGACAGTCTACTACGGAAGCAAGCCAAAATGGAAGCCTGCATGTTCTTGATTTATGTCACATATGCATACCCACAGGAAATCCTACAGCAGAGTTTCCCACACTTTAGTTGTATGACAGTCTTATTTTTCCCATTATCTTTGCAATGCCCATATTTAACATTTTTAAGTCAATTCACTTTTTTAAAAAAGATATCCTTTCCTTAAGGTTGCAGTGAGTTGTGATCGCACCACTGCACTCCAGCCTGGGCGACAGAGCAAGACCCTGTCTTTTTTATTTCAAAATATTAAGGAGGTACAAATGTCATTACATGGATAGCTTTTATAATGCTTTAGTCAGCACTATAGGTGTGCCCATTACCTGAATAGTGTTCATTGTTCCTGTTAGGTAGGTTCCCCCCTTCTTAATTTCCAACGAATTTTTACTTATTTCTGTGCCCATATGTGCCCATCACTTAGTTCCAAATTATTAGAGAGTACACGTGGTGCTTGTTTTTCCATTCCTGAGATGCTTCACTTAGGATAATGGTCTCCAGCAGTTCCATCCAAACTGCTACAAGACTTTTTTATGGCTGAGTAGTACTCCATAGTATACATATACCACATTTTGTTAACCCACTCATGAATTGATGGGCATCTGAGTTGATTCCACATCTCTGCAATTGTGATTCGTGCTACAACAAACATTGGAGTTGCAGGTGAAACCTTGTCTCTTAAAAAAAAAGATACGCTTCTTTGTCTAAAGATGCACTACACATAATTCATTTGTTTCCTAATACACATTAAACAAAACGGTTATTCAAATAAAGTGTTAATCCACATGCTAAAGTCATCTTTCACAGCAAAATCCTCTCATTCTGGGATACAGACCTGTAGCTTGTGATCCATACTCAAAGATCAACATGCTAGTAAATTGTAATCTAACAAGCTGGTGATTGCTCAGAGGCAAGGAGGAGAATGGCAGCACCTGAGTTCTATCAGCAATGTAATCTCTTGCAATGCACCCTCTCTCAGTACTTTAAGTATCTATAAGTAGACACCAATCTGCTTCAAGACACTAGTTTTTTTTTTTTTTTTTTTTTGAGATAGAGTCTCACTCTGTTGTCGGAGTAGAGTGCCGTCGTGTCAGCCTAGCTCACAGCAACCTCAAACTCCTGGGCTCGAGCAATCCTACTGCCTCAGCCTCCCAAGTAGCTGAGACTACAGACATGAGCCACCACGCCCGGCTAATTTTTTCTACATAGATTTTTAGTTGTCCAAATAATTTCTTTCTATTTTTGGTAGAGACGGGGGTCTCGCTCTTGCTCAGGCTGGTCTCGAACTCCTGACCTTGAGCGATCTACCCGCCTCGGCCTCCCAGAGTGCTAGGATTACAGGCATGAGCCACCGCGCCCAGCCAAGACACTAGTTAAGGACAGGTGAGGCAAAAATATGCATTAGCTGAGTTGGAGACTTCCAATCTCAAGGTACAGAGAAGTCCACAAGGACGGTATGTTTCTCCTGTTAATTTATGTTTACTAGACCATATTTCCTTTCTATTCAGAGGGAAGAAAGCCAGGTAGGATATCAAAAGTCATGTTAAGAGCCAAAAGTGCTTAAAATTTAAACAGTGTCTTTATAGCCGCCAACATTTACCTTTTTGGCAGACAAAGTTGGCTGTTTTTGTTTGAGGGGTCCGTTAGTCTTTACTGACTTTTCTGTAGCTCTGTTGACAGTTCCCAAAGCCTTTCTGGTAGTTTTAGGTAAGGCTGGTGGAGCATCAAATATTTTGCCAAGACATGGTGTTGAAACCTGAGATCTCCCATCTGAGGCTTTGGTTGCTGAAGAAAAAATGTTACCATAAGAATATTTGAGCAGCAAATACCTGTGCAACTTGAATGCTATGTATATAAACTTGACCTAATTCTCACCCCTAAACCCAACCCCCCATTTTTGGCAGTGGCATGGCTATGACATGCCAAATAGCACTGAGGTTCAGTACTCTCCTAAATCATCTCGTTAAGATATTGAACATGAAAAGGGACCGATAACAAACTTGGCTGCGATTGCCCACAAAGTACACTAAATGCCTCACCCAGCTCCACGCCACACTCACAATACCAATGTATCTGACTGCAGCCTTGTATACTTACAAGGCCCAGCCCTCAGCTTCAGCCCATCCTTAGGAGCCACACGGGTGCCTGGTTCTCCATTTTCCTTATCGACAAAGATCAGAGTAGCCATTCTGGATTATTCTAAGGGTGAGAAACACATTAGATACTGGGAATTGGGGAAGGCGAGAGAAGCTAAAGTATAGCAACAGACCAAACTTTTTACCCTGGGTATGGCCACCCAAAAACAAGAGCTAAGCACAGACAGGAGCGCGTGCTTGAGCCAAAAAGCACTTAACCCAGCTCCTAAGTCTTCAAGCCTGAGTCAGAGGCTCTCAGGTCCTGAGGAGCAGGCGGTTTGGAGCTGGCACCCATCCCAAGAGAAGCGCCATAGGTAACAGTTCGCAGTCCGAGGCCGCGGCTCAACCGGGCTCGAAGCCATCAACACCCCAGAGAAGCGCCCCCATCCCCAACTTCCAGCCCTAGCTCCAGCCGGCCTCCCTCCCCGCCGGACTCTGCTCGCCCCACCACTCGGGACGCTCCCGTCTACCCACGTCGCTCTCCACAGCCAAACTCACCAAAGACCGCTACTAGCGGGACCGGCACACGCCCGGTTTAAACCACAACTCGCGACTCAATTGGCTCGTCTGCCCAAGAGGCGGGACTTGAGGGCGGGGTCTCCAAGAAGAGCCAATGGAAGGAACCTAAGCTCCCGGGGCTCCGCCCAGAAAGCCCTGGCTCGGCGTTTGCGGCGTGTTTCTTGGTTAAAAAAAAACTACCGATCTTCTAACATTCAAAAAAACCTGAGAGGCTTTTTTCTCCGTATTATTGTTCTCCGTATTATTGTGCTACATGGACTGAAACACTGACCCAATAACGCTGTTTTATTGCTTTAAGGTCTTTTTTTTAAATGGCACTGTAGAAAGTTTTGAAAATAAATAGAAATATTATACCAATATTGGGGAAAACAACCAATATTGAGTCTAGAGAATACTAGCAGAGCAGAATTTAAAATTAAGAAGAAATGTAAATACAGATAAAACAGCAGTTTTTGAGTCATTCTGTAATGCTTGTGATTAACAATGGATTGATTATTCCCTAATTGCAGAATTCTCAACACTTCAGGCTATGATGCTGTTTCTATTAGGGCATCACAAACCTGTCTTGGGAACAAAGTGATGATCCTAATGAATACATAATGTAGTCTTCCCTTAAAATTCTATAATATCATTTAATAGTGATACCATTTATTTTCATCCTCTAACATTTCAACAATGTATTCATCAAAGCTGCCTGGAAGGGCCCGGCCAGGGAACAAGAGAAGATCAGAGGAATAATAAAGATACAGAAAAGGAATTCCAGTTTCCCAGATATTAAAAGAAATTTTGCTTGAAAAAGTCAATGACCTTTTCTTATTTCTATAGTAAATGGCAATATATTGAACAAATACAAGATAAAGGAATAAATTCAAAAGATTAAGGCTGCATCATTCAAATTTCTACTTCCTACAGGTCACCAAATACATTTTAACCTGCAGATAAACTGGGAGAAAGGACTTGACCCTATACTACTCTTTCACAAAAGGTTCAGTACTACCCATGGCAAACACATGGTTCTCAATATATGTTAGTTCATCATTTCTTCTTCCCTGGCATTTCAGGACCAAATTGATTAAATGATTCATGCATTCAACAAATATTTATTGAATGCCTATTAAATGCTGGACACTATGTGAGGCATTAAAAAGAAAAGATTCTAACTTAAAGTGAAGAAAAAAGGAAAGACAAAAAAACATGCATACCTTTACTGTCCCTTCCCTGTCCTCTTTCCTTTATCCCTACCCCTTATTTTCTCCCTGTATCTTCTTCTAAATTTCACACCTCCATATTATATCATCAGCACACAAAAGTATTATTTTTGAGATTAAATCTGCAAAACACCTACAGCTTCCTAGCGGGGATTCTCTGTCTTCTAAGGTTTGGGGTGCAAGGTTGGGTGCAAGGATGTCTTCCTCTTCTTTTTTTCCACCAACAGGAAGCATTGTTTCTTCTACGATCATGCAGCAGCTGTAAACCATAACCACCCTCTCTTTGAATCATTCTTACTAATGATGCCCCCAGACCAGCTTTCTTATTCCCAATTATTACCGGTGATACACAATTGCTTAATCACTCTCATTCGTAACAGCACCTAGACTCTAGTTATTCCCGGTAACTCCCAGTCCTGGCTTTACAAACAGCAACCCATTCAGAACCAACCCCTGCTTCCCCAGACCCTCCCAGAATCCTCCAGAGGGACTCCAAATCTTAGAAAAAATTCAACCCTCTTGTCCAGCGCATTTCATGATTTCTCTGGGAAATGTACTCTCTGGTTTTTATGTCTTGTGGTTATGGCTAACTGGGATTCAACAGTCCCAAGCAAGTTTAGGATTTTTTTTTAAGTGGAAAACACTGGATGATGTAAATTCGAGGAAGTAAAGAAACTCTGTGTTCACATCCCCAGCGTTTTGCACAGCCTAGCTACTAATTAACACTAATTTTAACTGTTTATTTATGTCACCAACTTCCGCATTCATGTCATAGTCCTCTAGTGAGGCTTAAGTTGTCTGTTCCGGGTACTAATTTTTTTTTTTAATGTCCTAAAATTCTGCAATTCTAAAAGAAACAACAGTTCACGAGTAGAAGCCAAAAATAAGGTTGCTCAATCTTTCTAACCCTGGCCCTCACGTAAGTAGAGGGATACGCACACCTCGAGATGTCGCGAGACTCACGGAACGAGACAGCGGAAGCCCCCGGAAGTTATTAGTGCGCATGTGTTGGTCATCCGGAAGCTACTGCAGTGCCTGCCGGGAAAAGGGCAGGAAGCCGGAAAGTAAACATTGCACGATTGGCTTCATTTCTGTCGGATGGTTTTGGGGTCGGCTGCGGCGGGACTGAGTAAGAAAATATTCGTAGAATTTGCAGGCGAGGAAGAGTTGGGTAACCTCAGAAAGTGGATCAAAGGCTCCTAATGATTAGATTTATCCTCACGGGAGTGATGAACCCCAGGTAGGGGAGGGAACGAGGACCAGAGACGGAGGAAGCCGCTGTTCTAGGCACAGGAATGGTACTCGTGCCCAGCCGGACCAAGACTGCGCCTTCAGGGAAAGAGTCGGGATAACTGCTAGAGTATCCCCTTCGTCGCGGTTAAGTACTCCTCGGACATCTTGAGCGATCCCTAGACTGCAAGCGGGAAAAGCCGTTTCCAGTACTCAAGGTGACAGATTTTGTTTCCACGCCAGAAAAATTTCTTTGAGCTTCAGTTTTTCGTGTTAAGTAGGGTGATCCTACTTAAGAGAGGTATTATGGAGAGTCTAATGAAATCATCTTTGTAAAGCGCTAAATAGTGTCTTACAGGAAGCTCTCCAGTTAAATGCGAACTGTTATTCTTTTTACTTGGAAAAAGGCCCCTCCACAGCGAGGAAATCTAATGAGTACAACTTGGTGTCTACAATACTTTATTCAGTTTTAGGACTTTTTCGGTTTTTTTGTTTTTGTTTGGAGACAGGGTCTCGCTCTGTCTCAGAGTGCAGTGGTGTGATCAAACTCTTGGGCTCAAGCGACCCTCCTGCCTCAGCCTCCTGAGCAGCTGGGACTAGAGACGGGTGCCAGCACGCCCGGCTAATTTTTTCTATTTTTTGTAGAGACGTGGTCTAGCTCTTACTCAGGCTGGTCACTCAGTTATAGTTTTTAATATTGCAGGTCCAGAAGCCAATATCCTATGGAGATATTATAACATAATGGTTTAAAGAACTGACTTTGGAGTCAGACGGACTTGTGTTTAAGATCTTTGTTTCTTATTAGCATGTGTCCTTGGCTGAGGACCTTTCTGTTTCTTCGCCGTAAAATGGGGTTAATCAGACCTAATTAATGAGGATGTGGTAAAGATTAGATGAGATGATGCATGGTAAGCTCAAGAAATAGTAGTTGTTTTAATGTAGATGATTAAATCTACCATTGTAGATCATCTTTCGATTCACAGTATACTTGGTTCTTTATCTGTTCATATATTACATAAACATCTGGAGATATTCTATAGGTCAGAGACACAGGAGAAAAAAAACACCTTTGAGCAACATCATAGACTCCTAGCTATTGAGCACTTTCTGTTGAGAAAGAGCTTGTGTAAAAGCCTAATGTTTGCAGGGAACATGGTGTGTTAGAGGAACTACAAGATCTGTAGTTGGTAGAGAAGGAATGGAGGGATAGTTGTAATGGTGAGTATGGAAGGTAGACAGTTGCCAGACAATAGTGAAAGATGTAGGTGTGTTAAAAAGATGTTGGTTTTTAGAGTACGAATGATAAGATCCATTGGACCTGCAATATTCAATATGGTAGTTATTGGCCATTTGTAGTCATTGAGGCTGGAAATGTGGCAAGTCCAAATAAGTGTAAAATCTATAGCGACTTTTAAAGATTGAGTTGATTTTTTGTTATGTTGATTGAAATTTGAAATTATAATATGTTGGATATACTGGGTTAAATAAAACTTTGCAAAAGTGATTTGTAATACTCTGGCTTCTCTTCAGATTGTGTAAAAGTAATTT